ATATTTTATGTATTTAGATATTTTCTATTGGTCGTCTGGTTCTCATAGAGTGACCAATATGTTCAATCACAAATTAAGTTGTAATCTTACATTAATCTTAATTTCCTGAATTTCTTTAGTTTCACTGTGTATAGTTGTAAAACATATCGATTAGTAGCTTAATTACAGTTTGTTCAACTTCCTGCAAACTATAGATTGCCTAATATGTATTGAGGAAATACCTGCAATAATTTCCATGGTTCAAATTATATTTGTCAGCTTTCAAAAGTCAAATGTTTTTGTTCTATGGAAGGGTAATACACTTATTTTATGAATCGTAGCTTTTTAGTGAGGTTATAAACATAGCTTCGGGACCAGTTTGGGACGCAGTTTATTATAAAGTTTTACCCCAACATCTATAGTGTAATAATTAAGTAGCTGTCAATAAAACTATATTTTACTCTACGACTTCAAGATTTTATTTTATCATCTTCGATCGAGAAGAATCGGATACAGGAAATTTGAAACAAATTAAAATTTTAATTGCATTCGAATTTGTTCTCAAATTGTACTTAAAATCTGAAAACTTCCCCAAGCATCTTTTGTGTACCTATCTCTTTTCGATGTACTGAGCCTAGAGCGTTCATAAAAATAACGTGTGTATACTTAATACCAGGCGGTAGTCAGTCTGTCTTTAGTTGTTTTATACGTGGAAGACAATGATGCTAGATAAAATGTATGTGTTTTCTCTCGCCAGGTACTAATGACGAACAGGCAAAAAACCATGGACTCAACTGTACTCATCATTAGATGATTCACCCCTACTGGGTTTACATTTTACCCTTATATTCTCATTGTAAGACGAATTTATAACTGTTGGATTTATTGCATTTTTTGGAACTAAAGAATTTCTTGTAAAGTCTTCCGTTTGGATCTCTCACCAAGTAGGAACGTGGAGTGTTAATAAATCTGCGTCATCTGTTTACCAAATAAGTTAAGAGTCTGTTAGGTATACATCTTCTTCTCCTACGGCACTACAGCCCAAATTGAGCCTTGGCTTCCTTTATTTTTTCGCTCCTCCCTTGCTTGTCTGTGGCTGATCTTCTCAATACACGGACTCCAAAAAGGGCTTCTGCATCGCTGTTTACTGTGTCTTTCTAGCGCTTTCTTGGCTTTACAACCGGTTTTTTCCCTGCATTCTACCATTTAGTGTTCTTTTTGGTAGCCTATCCTCTCCCATTCTTATCACATGTCCGGCCGAATAAAATATTTGTATTCTAATGAAGTCTGACAGTGGTGCTTCCTTATAAATTGATAAAGCTCGTTGTTGTATCGACTTTTAAAGATTCCTTTTCCCTCACAGATCCTAGTATTCTCCTCGGTATTTTCCTTTCGAATGTGTCGAGTTTGCTTTTGGATGTTTGTTTCAGGATCCATGCTTCACTGTCATAGCATGCTATTGGTCGAATTAAGGTTTTATGGATTCTTATCTTTTTATTTCGGTGGCCATTTTTAGACCGAAATATATGGGAGAGGGCAAAATAAGCTCTGTTTTCCTGCGTTATTCTCTTTCATATTTTTCCATCTTCTGATCCGTCGGCATATATTTCTACTCCCATGTATGTAAACTTTCCAACCGTTTTAATGTTATTTTCATGTATAATGTTTTGTGGGACTATATTTTTTTCGTCTATATCATTATTTTTGTTTTTGTGTGTTAATTTCCAGACCTATTCCTATTATAAGTTTCCTGTGCTCCTGTTGATGTTCTACTTATAATATTAATAACATCGGCATAGGCGGCCATTTGAACCGTTCGGTTGGTCAGTAGGTTTCCTCGTCCAGTTTGCATTTGCCTAACCGCATACTCCAGTGTCAGGTTAAACAAAGTTGAGGCCAGCCCATCTCCCTGTTAGTCCCTGCGAAATTTTGAAAAAGTCTGTCTGGTGGTTTTTTTATTCGAACACATACCAGTCATGTTCCCATGATTTACTCAGATTTGTTTGACTGTTAGGTATACGTAACATTAGTAAAAGATGTATTTGTGGTATGTATCAGATCGGGTTGTAAATAAATAACAACAGTATTGTAATACTACCGCCTTTATTGCCACTTTTAACCTGGAGCAAATGATCTTGCAAATACAGTCTTGTTTTCTTAAAAACATCTGGGTACTACTTTTTCAGGATGTTTGATATCTTGCTTAGATAACATCTCTTTTCTAAAGGCGGACTGAAGACGATCAAATACCGAGCCTAGTTTTCGCCCCATTAATATTTCTGATGGGCATCTCCCTGTTGCACAATGGGGTGTAATGTGCTGACTAAGGAGAAATATGTGCAATGCTAATTGTATATTAGTTTGTTCATTACTATCTGTCATTTTTTAAAAGCATTTTTTACATTTTGTACCGTGCGTATTCTGCTTGCCATTACTACTTGGTTGGTACGGTGCAACTAATGTTTGTCTAATAAGGTTTTTCCTTAAAAAATCTTGGAACTCAGCAGACGTAAAATTAGTTCCATTATCTGATATAACATTTGGGATACCATAAGTCGCAAATAAACCACGTAATACATCTATGGTCACAATACTACTAGAGGTATTTGGAACGATTTTAACTTCTAACCACTTCAAGTACGATTTTATGATAATCAAAAGCATTTTGCCTTTAAATGGACCGGCAAAATCGAGGTGTATTCTTGTCCATGGAGCTCTGGCCTACTCCCAAGGATGGATTGGAACCTTTCTTGGCATGTTTCTAGACATCTGGCACTCGAGACGTGTATTGACTAGGTGTTCGATTTGTTTGTCGAGATTTGGCCACCAGTGAGTTAATTTTTACGATTCCTGGGTGTGCTGAGTGTAGCAAATTCAGTAGTTTTTTCCTCCCGCCCAGTGAAGCTATTACCCTTGTACCCTATAAAAAAGGCTCGATTACAGCTTATTTCGTTTTAACGTTGTAGATAAGGAGTATTTCTCTGAAAATTTAATTTTCTCATCAGGCCAACCTTTCCATGTCCACTGGAAACTTTAGAGAACACTGGGTCGTTCTTAGTCTTATTGGTAGCAATCTGCTAAGAGCATCTGCACTGTGGATTTTCGAGCCTCGCACGTAACATAATTCTATATCTGCTACTTATAAGCAGATAGCATAAGAGCCCATCTAAGCATTCTGGGTGACAGTATCTCTGAAACACCTTTTTTCTAATTAAAAATACCCAGCAATGGTTTATGATCCGTTATTATGCTTATTTTCCTGTTCCTTCCAATTTTTCTGTAATATGTATAAAGAAAGGCTCAGAAGGTATAGCAGAGGAATCAAATAACTGAAAATAAAAATAGGCTAAACATACGCACACAACAGCTGCAAAGAGAAATCGCTAAAATTAAGAACGAATCAATCATTAATTACCTGAGAGAACTAACTGATGATGAAGGCACCGATTATTCCCTCTGGAATGCGACCAGAAACATAAATAAGCCAGTTTAATATATACCTCCTTTACGAAAAGAAAACAGAATATGGGCAAGAAATCCCAAAGAGAAAGTGGATGCGTTCGCTGATGATTTAGAAAATATATTTCAACCAAATCCTGGGTTTGACCTGATCAATGGTGAGATACTAAAAACAATACCTACAAAAGCCATAGTAAAGCTTAATTCAGGCCCATTTCCTTACTATCCATATTCTCAAAAGTGTTTGAAAAATTGCTACTACGAAGAACGAACGATATAATTAAACAAAAAAAGATTATTCTGACAACAGTTGCCCAGATCCATCGAATAATATACAACTGATATAGAGAGAGCATTGGAAGGGGACAAAATTTGTTCAACGGTATTTCATGATATCGCAAATATGGCACGACGGCCTCTCAATGAAGCTAAAGGAAATATTTCCTATGCAACCCGTTGAAATATTGCAGTCATACCTAGACCAGCGAACATTTAGAGTTATAAAGGAAAACGAGTACTTTAAGTTAAAGCCAATAAACGCAGGGGTTCCACAACGTAGCTTTGCGAAGCGTTCTTGGACCAGTACTATACCTTTTGTATACATCTGACATTCCGGAGAAAGAAAACATTCAACTAGCCACATTTGCTGGTTATACAGCAGTCCTGACTATAGACGAATCTACGGTTAACCTACAACGTGCAAATAATGGCATAGATGGTGATATAGAACGCCGGTCCAAACAATGACGTATAAAGTTTAATGAACCAGTTCACATTTACTTTACTAACAAGAAAGTCAATTATTAGATAAGTACTCTCAACTGTCCATCCAGAACAAATTACTGATTTCCAAACAGATATTGAAACTGGTGTGGACCTATGGCCTACAATTATGGGGCTGTACCAAAACAATTATAAAAATTTAGAAACGCCCCAGAACCGACTACTAAGGAATATTGAAGGTGCTCCTTGGTATGTTTAGAATGACGATTTACGTAGAGACCTTATAGTCGAATCTATTCCAAATGAAATTAAGAAAGTCGCCAGGAGACATTAATTAAGAGAGGTTGAATAAGCATACCAACCATCATGAAGTAGGTACTTCAGCTTCTTGTCAACCAACCCCAGATGCGAAGGCTCAAGAGGACTGACTAAACCGTTCGAGCTTGTGAATGTGAAGTTGTACAAGGCTTAGTCGCTTAGTTAGTGTTAGCGTTGTGTCTGGTTGTGTATTGTAACCACAACAAGCACGTGAGCAGTTAGTGAAAAGCAGTGTCAGTGCTGTGCTGTGTAACTAAAACAAAACAGTGGGTATTTCTTGTTAAAAAAAGGTAGGATGGAGCAGGTGACATCTAGTTTACAAACAATCTTAGGAAAATGAGGTTAAAGAAAAGTTAATCTATTAGATTAATCAGCATTTAATCCGTAGTTTAAAATAAAAAAAAAATCTAATCACATATTTATCACATTAACGTTTGAACGAGGCAAGGTTAAACAGCACAACAGCAGGTAAGCAGGTTAGGTTAGAAAGAGGAAGAAGAGATGACGTTTGGACATATGACGTGTTTATTTTCTATTTGATTTGTGAAATATCTACAAAATTTTAATCATAATTACATTTTAGTAACTTTTTAAAAATAATTATTGATTTTCTTTAATTACATTACTCTCTTTTATACTAAAAAAAATGAACTGAAGCAGTATAAGTTGTAGAATTGTGTAATGAGGTGGTACGGGCATGTCTTTGTTCAAATTAGAGACCAAGGAGGCTAGTATTTCAGCCGAGAATTGCCACGATATTATTGATAATGTTATCAGTAAAGTTGATTCTAATTCTAAAACCGAAATTGAACATTCCGAAGATAATAACAAAAATAAAAACATACAAGAAAATAAGGAACTTCCTACCATAACCATAAGAATGCTGAATTTTTGTAGAGAACTTGCAATTTTTTGTCTTGTAATGATGACATATGTTGCTTTTAGTAAAGAGTATGTAATTATTTATCCTGATTTTTAAAACATGTTTTTAATTAATATGTCTAATTCATATTAATATTTATAATAATTTATCATTTCAGCCCACCAAAAATATCCAAGGCACCTGCAGCATATCGTTTTTTTCCTGAAAATTCAATTGTTACTGATTGGTATAGAGGACAGATAAGCAAAGCTATAGAACATGCTAGATCTAGTGATATTGCATTTGTAATGTTTTATGCTCCTTGGGATGCAGATAGCCAAAAAGGAAGAAACGAATTTGAGAAGGCTGCTGAGTACATGCAGGTAATTGTATTAGAAATAAATATTGTTGGAGATCAGTATAAGATAATTTTGTGTGTGAACAGGTTAATTTGTTCTCTTATATTAGTTTTATAGAATATTGTAGCTGGATTTACAACTCCTACTATTATAAGATGTAGTCCAAATTGAGAAGTGATAAAAAGTATACAGAAGGTGTTTGGTTAAAGTTTAGCATAAAAAAGGGTACTAGTGTAATAAGCTGGAACCATGTTCTCCGAGATGAAATTTATATCAATGAATTCTGCTTCACTTACTAATGATATGATTAAAATTTTGAGACAAAATCTAGAGAATGTTGCAGTGAAGGTAGCTACAAATGATGCTTTTGGTTCAGGTCAACAATGCAGTCAATAGCAATAAGATATATAAAAATTAAATTAGTTTAGAATTATCAAAAAGGAAAAAGTAAATAATTTAAAAACAGTAAATAGTAAAATTTAAGTATAAATAATAAAGTTAAGAAGACATCTGATAACTGGTGGTTTGAGGATTGAGAAATATATCTGCTAATCTATCAAAGCGCAATTGGCAAAAAAATCTAATAATTAACTGAAATTAATATCAAAAGAAACAAATATTTATTCTTTTGTTTTATTAAATTAAAAATTGCAGAATCAAATAACATATACATCATAAGTACATGGCAATACCACCAAATGCAAATATTTCATTCTGTGTACAATCTTTGTAGCTCTACCTTCACTACAACATTCTGTAGATGATGTTTACATTTTGTTTTATTAAAATTTGCAAAATAGATAAATAAAACTAAAATGAATATTAGAAGTAATTTTATACAAATTCCAGGCATATGTAAGCTTTGTGGCTGTAAATTGTTGGCAACCTTTGGGAGAATGCAGAACACAATACAACAAAGTTTATAAATGGCCTGTTCTCATTGCTTACCTACCTCATGGAAGAGGTGTACAATACAATGGTCCATTAAGTGCTCCACATTTTATTCAGTTTCTGAAGAAAGTTTCTAATCCTATCAAACATTTAGGAAATGAGGGCATAAGGGATTTTCAGGATGTAAGTATAACTAAAAACTCTTTAATATTTATTTAAATGAATAATCTACTTTCAAGAAGAAATTAAAGTAGGGGTGGTAAGATGCAAAATAGTGATTAATGACAAGATAATTGAACAAGTCTCAAGATTTGAGTATGTGGAAATAGAAATATGTAGCAATGGAAACATTAAATATAGTATGAGAAAACATGCAAATACAGCAGTTTATACTGATATGGCAATTTTTCAACTAGTGTATTATGTTGTTCAGGATGTGGAATAAAGATACCACTTAATTTGTTTGAATAGAAGTGAGAGGCAGTCACCATGTTGAAGGATAAGGTCTGACTTTTAAACAGTATTGCTATATTTCTGTTACAACTTTCTTTCTATAAATTTAGTTTGGTCTTCTTCGTGCCATCTCCGTGGCGGAGGTCGGTAATCATCATAGCTATTCAGACTTTTGAGACGGCTGCTCTGAAAAATTCATTTGATGTACATCCGTACCACTCTCACAAGTTGCGCAGCCATGACATTCTACGCCTCCCTGTGCTTCTCTTTTCTTGTATATTGTCCTGCATAATCAATTGGAGTAGGGTGTATTTCTCTCCTACGTATAATATGTCCGAGATATTCTAATTTTCTTGTTTTTACTGTGTTTAAAATTTCCATTTATTTATTCATTCTTCCAAGAACTTCTTTGTTTGTCAAGTGTTCTGTCCAATAAAGTAGCCTTGTATTTGTTATTTTCTAGGTGATTCTATTAATTACTTAATTAGTTAACAAAGAACATTGATTCAAGGAATTGATGTGTGGTAACAATGCATATTCCCCTGAGCAGTTAGTAAAATTTTAAACAATGCCTTCCTTCACACTGTGGGGGCCCTAGATACATCCAGAATTCAGTATAAACCTTGAGTATAGTTGCATTTCATGTTCAACAGAAATTTGTTTCAATCAGGTTGATCTGCTGGACAACATTTCATATAGATATTTATACAACCGAAATTTTCATAATAATTGATTAATAATGGATTTTAATAATTGATTGAACTGTTTTCAAAAATAGCAATAAATAGTGTAGAGTTGCCACAATAGAATGGTTCCCAAAATACCACTTGAATCTTCTCTTCTCAGGTATAAACGCTTTGAATGTTAATTATTTGTTTTCAACCTATAACCACCACAGCTTAAAATCAAATAAACCTGCTGTACAGATAAACACTAGATACTCTTTTTAGGGGAAGTCATGCAATCATAGAGGGGAATACTGTTTATATCTGCCTGTCTACTGATAATATTGTTTATTTAGCTCGCCCTATTCCTCAATTCAGTATTCTTTGGTAATTAATCAAGTAATTGATGGAGTTGTTACATGATTACTTTATGGAAGTTTTGTTGGGGCAATATTAATATTGTTCTACAATAAACTGTAGTGGATTTAAATATTTTACACTCATGTATCCTACTAATATTTTAGAAGGAATAATGTAACAGAAATACAATAACACTTTTTAAAAGTCCGACTCGCTACTCCAACATATGTGGATTGTGTCTCACTCGTATATTCAAACAATTAAGTGTTATCTTTGTTTCACATATTGAATAACATAGATGCTAGTTGACAAATTGCCATACTTGTATATAGGAAGACTTAAAAGATAAGAAATAAGAACCTCGAGATCAATTGCTGACAAAACAAGTATGAGACAGAATACCAAATTACCAAATAAGATACATATATGTAAAATGCACGGTATCATATGATGGGAAAGACAGAGAAAACAGGAATTGAATCACCATATTACATGAATGAATATTGGAAGACTAGCCCAAATACAAAAAGGTTTAAGATAAACAGTCACAAGACCTCGAGGAAGATTCTTTAATAGATGGCCTCACAAATACAATTGCAGCCTTAAGATAGGGCAATAACAGATCTACAACCTAAATCAGAAGGTTTTTCTTTTGAATGGGAATTCTTACTTTGTCTCTCATCACCTAATTTGTAGGTTTATTTTCACATTTTTCATTGCTTAGTTTCAGCCAATTTTTTTGATATAATTTCAAAACCTTCTGCTTCATTATGGAAGCTCTCTAAGTATATTCATTTGTAATACTTATTCTACATATCTATTACTAGGGCTTATATATCAAATAATATTATTGTGCTTGTGTCATCTTACGAGAAGCATTTTAGACTAAGGGTAATAAGATTTTTTTGTGACACTGACCCGGCCAGGCAAATGACAGTTTTTTGTGTAGTATAGACCTCTACAATAAGAACCTATATGTTTCCTGTAGTCGATTTTTTGGACTAGACTACACTGGATTAGTAATTAACAATTTAAGATCAAAAAACAGTAAATATTCACTTTTTTCATCTACTTTTAGCAAAAAGTAAAGAATTTAAAACAAATTTAAGAGTAGTAAAGCTATGTCATATAAAACCTTCAAACTTGCGTTTTTTTAATGTTTTTATCCTTATTTGTTGCTTAGAAAGTTGCAAAATAAGTAAGAAATTTCGGATTTTATAAATTAACTTTTTTAAAAATGAAATGAAAACGTGTATATTACACGGAATGTTGGATGTTATAATGCTTAAAATATGGTCAAAATTTCAAAGCGATCGGTCAAATTGTTTAAAAGATATTTTATTTGTTTATCTCAAATTAAATTTTTTTGCACCAATAATGAAGGCACAGTAGTTCTACAGGTAGCGTATGAAAGAAGGATTATTCTATCAACATTATCAAAAAAAATTATTTTAGGTATGACAAAACATTATCTAGCTTGTATTGAAGTAACTCTAATTATATAAAAAAATTATTTTTGAAGCAAAGAAAAACATTTCTTATATTTTGTTTAAAAATTTGTTTAAATAAATAATAGCTACTTAATAAATAAATAAATAGGTAGCCATAGAAAATTTTTCAGTCAGAACATTTGTCCATTGAGAAATATTTCAAATTTCTATTTAAAATTTTTTATTACATAAAATAATTGAATAGGATAACTTGTTTTCTGTTGTAAATAAGTTAAATAATAATAAAAATTGCCTCAAATATTACTAAAAAATGAAAAAAAAACTGTTTAAACAAATTAGGTAGATAGTTTGTTTAACAATGTATTTATTTAAATAATTCATATTTGTAATGTACGCAAAAAGTTCATGAACATTTTAAAAAATGTTTAAATAAACATAAACACGAACCAGAGATATAGTTGAGAGCTCCTTTCTTCTCCATCGTCCCACGAGTTTCAAATACAGCTTATTTTGAGAACCACATTTTGAAGCTTTGTGGACGACTTCGTTCAGATGTAATCTTTTTCAAATTTGTCACACTAAAACTTTAAAGTATGTTCTTTTAAGTGACGGTAATTAGATATCTTAATTGTTATTAACAAAGCTGTTGTCAATTAAAAAAAAATGGACTAACTTAATACTTAAAATACAATAATTATTTTTGAACATATTACTTAGTTGAAGTATATGATAATTAAATTTACTATCAGATGATATCTATTTATATTTTATTACTAGCTGGCCCGGCGTACTTCGTACCTCCTTAGAATTAAATAATGTATCCAAAAAATTAACAGAAAACAAAACAAAAAAACACTTATTATGCATAAAAAAAGTTGAATCAATTTAATACTTTCTGATAAAAATATTTTTATTTTGTTTTAGTTAAATAAATATACAACAATGACGGTTTTCCGACACGCGAATAATTGCTCATGCACCTAACATGGATAAGTTAATTCCATTTGTCTTTGTGATTTTTTTATTATTATTGCAGACGCCAATAGCACGGGAAATTATAAACTATTCGGTTTTCAGTCAATTAAATGGTGCGTTCGTTGAAATCATCATTATACGCGGGATCAAGACATCCCCTATTTTTTATTTTCCCTTGATTATCGTTGTCGTAATGACATTATTCATTAAATGAAAAGACTGATATGTTTTAACACACTTGACACACATGAAAAATCATAAGTTGGAAAAGGGAAGTATTTTTGAAGTGTGTAAAAGATTTTAATTCCTAGCTAAACGCTTTTGACTTACAAAGCCATTTTCGAAACTATGCTACAAGAGAGCAAAGATGAAAATAACTAATTTTAATTTAACAATGATTCACTTACGCCAAATATAAAGTTTCCAACTAAGAGAGAAGTATCCACATTAAAAGAAAAAATAAACCCAACACTACAGTCATTTATAGAACTAATTTCTAAAAAAACATATCTTTGTAGTAAAATCAGTAAAGAAATAAAACTGATCCCTAATTGATGCCTAATCACAAAAATCAATCAATTGCAATTATAAACCTATTTTTAAATTATTTATTAAAAATCTAAGTTAAACAGACAAAACGTTTTCGGAATCCATATTCCATCATCAGTGTCCTAGAAAATATTTAACCACTTAATTAAAAAGAACATAGGTTTAAAATGTTGACCTTAGTTTAAGACCTATTGCTTTGAAATTTTGATCATAATTTAAGCAGTACGCGAACCAATGTTCTATCTAATTGGAAGGTTTTAAGTTCATTTTTTTTTAAATCCACAAGGAAAAATTCCTGTAGCTGGCTGTATACCACGTATAACAAAAAGAGGTTAATCTTTGTAAATGGGTATATTTATTTAAAAAAACCCTTAAAAGGGCCACATCAATAAAACAAACGTTTTCGGACTACACAGTCCATCATCAGGTTATTAAAATCGAAAATGCCTAAAAATAAGTATAAACCATTTAGTTAAAACAAACGAGATTTTGAAATTTTGACTATGGTTGAAAAGCAAAAGATGGTTATACTTACTAGGTCATAATGCCTGAGCCACCAAAATATTAGGGTAAAAACCCTTTAAATTACATTTAGTTACGAAATGTTGTACATTGTGTTATAAAATAATTGTGATGTTCAATATTAAATTAAATTTGACTAAAGGTAACACATGGCTCAATTGGGTTCCAGAGCCGGGTGAGAGGGTACCTCTGCACTCGGAGAACAACGTGGAACTGATTGACAAGATACTTTTGAAGGATGAAGATAACAGAATGTCAATGCAACAAAAACTATAAAAGTTGTACATAGTATTACTACAGCCAAAAGATTCAACAAGTTTTGATGATTTTAAAAATAACAACAATCTAGGTGTTGGGATTTAAAAACTTTTTATTTATTAATTTAGGGTATAAAAGATGTCAAATCAATGATGGTTTTATAGTCATGATTAATATAATGACCTGTGCCTTAGGCAACTTATGTTGCTTTTCGTCGTATGGAATGTGGTCTAAAGTGTATTTAATTTTGGGTTAGCTTGTATTTATGAAATTTATCCTTTTATGTTTAACACATCTAGGACAAGGTAAAAATTAAATAACAAATATTTGAAGCTAATATCAGACCTCATATTTAAATGACTTTATTTAAGAATGCTCCTATGGTGAAAAATTAATAAAATTAAGTTTAGTAAGATGGAAATCTACAGGCTGAAGAAGTTGAGGTAATAACATATGTGATTGAATTTAAAATTGAAGAGACTGGGTTCCTCAGAGACTAATGAGAATGAAAGTAAAAGAAATGACCGAAGAAAAGGAGGGGGGGGGTTGAAGGAGAAAAGGAATTGATCAACAATTAGAGATAATAGGGGTCCTTTATACTTAAAGTATCTAGCACCCTGAACAAAATCTATTTAGGTGGTATTAAATTCAGTTGTATCCAATAGTTTTAATTTAGTAATCATTCAAACATTGTCTAACAATTTATTAAAATTCATAATCTACCATATTACAAAGAATCCTAATCTACCTTTGTCCACCTTTTTTCGGTCAACAACTTAGTAGCACACTTATACAACAAATTTCAGGTTTCTACAAACTGAATTTAATACCACCTAAATAGATTTTGTTCAGGGTGCTAGATACTTTAAGTATAAAGGACCCCTATTATCTCTAATTGTTGATCAACTCCTTTTCTCCTTCAACCCCCCCCCCTCCTTTTCTTCGGTCATTTCTTTTACTTTCATTCTCATTAGTCTCTGAGGAACCCAGTCTCTTCAATTTTAAATTCAATCACATATGTTATTACTTCAACTTCTTCAGCCTGTAGATTTCCATCTTACTAAACTTAATTTTATTAATTTTTCACCATAGGAGCATTCTTAAATAAAGTCATTTAAATATGAGGTCTGATATTAGCTTCAAATATTTGTTATTTAATTTTTACCTTGTCCTAGATGTGTTAAACATAAAAGGATAAATTTCATAAATACAAGCTAACCCAAAATTAAATACACTTTAGACCACATTCCATACGACGAAAAGCAACATAAGTTGCCTAAGGCACAGGTCATTATATTAATCATGACTATAAAACCATCATTGATTTGACATCTTTTATACCCTAAATTAATAAATAAAAAGTTTTTAAATCCCAACACCTAGATTGTTGTTATTTTTAAAATCATCAAAACTTGTTGAATCTTTTGGCTGTAGTAATACTATGTACAACTTTTATAGTTTTTGTTGCATTGACATTCTGTTATCTTCATCCTTCAAAAGTATCTTGTCAATCAGTTCCACGTTGTTCTCCGAGTGCAGAGGTACCCTCTCACCCGGCTCTGGAACCCAATTGAGCCATGTGTTACCTTTAGTCAAATTTAATTTAATATTGAACATCACAATTATTTTATAACACAATGTACAACATTTCATAACTAAATGTAATTTAAAGGGTTTTTACCCTAATATTTTGGTGGCTCAGGCATTATGACCTAGTAAGTATAACCATCTTTTGCTTTTCAACCATAGTCAAAATTTCAAAATCTCGTTTGTTTTAACTAAATGGTTTATACTTATTTTTAGGCATTTTCGATTTTAATTACCTGATGATGGACTGTGTAGTCCGAAAACGTTTGTTTTATTGATGTGGCCCTTTTAAGGGTTTTTTAAATAAATATACCCATTTACAAAGATTAACCTCTTTTTTTTTTTTTATTTTTTTAAGTTAATATTTATAAAAAATCGAAATGTCTGACCTATTTTGCAACTTTCTTCTAGCAACAAATGAAAATAGTAACATTTAAAAACGCCATTTTCAAATTTTTGTATATGACTTAGTTTATTGCTCTCAAATTTGTTTCAAATGCTAAACTTTTTGCTGATAGACTAAAAAAGAGAAGGGTCCAAAAATTGTTAACTGTCGTTTGCTAGTCTGGTTCAGTGTCGCAAACAAGGTACTTTTTTGCCTATTTCCCTGGCCCATTTGAGTCCTTAACCAGTGGTGTATCCTTCTCACTTTCTAAAGGATTAAGTGGTCACATATTAATTGACCTTATGATGTTTTCCTTCTCAGTGACATAATATACTGTCGATTTATTATCAATTGTCTGCTTTGTTTATTCATCTTTTCACCTGCAGACTATCAAAAAATGTATATCTTCTGATTAGTCAAGACAACATTGGCGTCAACTTTACTTCATTTACTTTGTTTAATTTTTCTTTGGTTCTTCATCATATTTCTCATATATTTTATATGTCTTCATATATTTCATATGTCTTTATTTCTGTGTGTTTTCTTTTTTATTTTTGAAAGAACTTCTTCGTTCCTGTGTTTGTTTCCATTGGTTGCATTTCACTATTTCCTCTTTCGCTTTCTCCAAGAATTTACCATTTTAAAAGTCACCCAACTGTGGCGTTTTGATCTTTATAATGTCAGTCACCCAATAATTTCATTTAAGCAGTGAATTGATGTTAGTGTTGACCATTGCCTACTTTAATTAGGTTTTTGATTGGACGTGTACTTAAAATACTATTCGTTTATATATCTAATAATGTATAATTTGTTTTAGGCTTATGTTAGGGCAGAAATGAATGTGTCACCAGGAAGCCTTGATTTCGCTGTGTATTATACAACAGCACTTAGATATTTAGAGAAAGATCCACAATATAGAGTTACCTTTTATATAACTCCTTCTTATGTTACAACACCATCATTGTCTCTATACATGTGGAACGAAACTTTAGTAGGTATAAACCAATAGAGCATATTTTACATAAAACTTTTTCAAGATTCAACGTCTTTAAAGTATACCTTTATCCCTTTAAACTCTCCATTAACTTAAAAACTCCATTTTTTGTTCCTGATAATGATACTTATCGGTAATTAAAAATACACTGTTCATTTGAAAAGGATCTACCCTCAATTGTTCAGAAACACGACATTGAAAGCAATGCCGAGAAAAGTCAATTTTTAAATTTAGTTTTGCTTTTATTTTGGATAATAACAAATGTGTTGACGTCGTGATAAAGTCAAACCATTTTTTTAGGAAACCTATATTTTTTCTGTCAAAATTAAATAGACAATGATATTCTATGAACATGCATATGCGCATGAATGTGCGTCACTATTGCATTAAAATTAGCAATTTTTGTATATAAAGTGTTAAAAGTACAATACAGTATACTCCCTCTATAACGAATACGGTATCTACGAGGTTTCGCTTATAACGAGGTACATTAGATGTCCCGTGAAATTTCTATTGAACTATAACCCTTTATAGCGAGGCAAATTTGGTTATAACGAGAGAAAATAATATCGAAAAACGTGTTTTTTACGTTTTTGATCCGGCCGTGGCTATAAATAAATACCCTTTTAACTGCCGCCCGCAATAAACTTCTTTACAATAAATACAACTGATTCACATCTTTAAAAAATATTAGGGGAAAGGCGTGTACCTTGGGACGGTTTTACCTTGGGACAATCATTATAAAAATGTAACCGTTGTAGCGAGAAATCTGAGAAATTTGTAATATGATGGCAACACTGTCTCCACTTACATCAAACATTCGCGTTTCCGTCAGCAGCCATTTGATGTGACGACAAGTGTAAAACGTTTTGGTGTCCGTGAAGTAAATTTTATCCATCTTTATAAAATAATAGGAAAAGCACGGTAAGAACTATTGGTTGAATTTTTTCGGCGTATTTCGTCTTTATATATTTAATGCTCACTGTAAACTATATTTTATGAGAAAAAACTTTACTTTAAATTGATGAGGTTAGATTTAGTAAAACATGTGCTTGGTTGTACCTTGGGACGTTGTTATGGTTGTACGTAGGGACTTGTCCCAAGGTACAACCAGATATTTTTCTTCACCGTGTTAATGTTAATCTTATTGTTGCAGATGGGAAGAAGTGCTACAGGAAAAAAAAGGGTGAAACCAGATGCAGAAGCATTAGAAGCAGCTGCCAATGAGATACTGGCGCATAGTCGACCTTTGAGAGAAATAGCTAATCTGTATGGTGTTTCAAAAAGTACTCTTGGTAGGCATATTCAAAAACATAAAGTGTCTATGAAAGCGACTTTCAAGTATGAAGCGAATAATTCAACACGCAAAGTCTTCAGTACTGAACAAGAAAACGAACTGCTCACTTACATTATCAAAGCTGCACAGTGGAACTATGGTGTCACTGTTGAAGAAATGCGAAAACTAGCATATCAGTACGCCAAACTCAACAATGTGAACTACCCTGAATCATGGGATAATAATAAAACTGCTGGTAGACAATGGTACCGATGTTTTAGAACTTCTTATAATAACAAAATATCTCTTCGGAAGCCTGAAGCCACAAGCTTAGGTCGAATGGCCTGTTTCAACAAGCCAAACGTTTTAATATTTTTTGATAAATTGGAAGAAATTTATTCGAGATTAAAGTTAACACCTCAAAATGTGTGGAATCTCGATGAGACCGGCTGCCCTACTGTTCACAAGCCAGTTCGTGTGCTTGGCGATATAAAAGCTAAGCAAATTGGAGCAGCTACTTCTGGCGAGAGGGGTATTAATGTTACTATGATAGCCTGCGTTAGCGCTGCCGGAACATTTATTCCACCAGGTATAATTTTTCCACGTGTTCACTTCAAAGAGCACATGATTAACAACGCACCACCTGGAACTATTGGTATGGCAACTTCTAGTGGTTGGTCCAATGCTGAATTGTTCGTTGAATATCTTCAACATTTCATTTCAGTTGTGAAGCCATCTCCTGAAAATAAAGTGTTGCTTATCCTCGACAACCACGAAAGCCACCTCTCATTGGCTGCTATACACATAGCTAGGGATAATGGAATAGTAATTTTAACCTTTCCTCCGCATACCAGTCACAAACTTCAGCCGTTGGATAGGTCTGTGTTTGGGCCATTTAAAAATTATTTCAATAATGCTAGCAAAGATTGGATGCTGAACCATCCGGGAAAGCCTATATCTATTTACGACATGTCAGAGCTGATAGGAAAAGCATTCCCATTGGCGTTTACCCCAAATAACATTTCGTCAGGTTTCAAAGTAGCAGGTATATGGCCATTTAATGCAAACGTGTTCGGAGACCATGAGTTCTTACCAGCTGAGGTGACCAACAGGCCATATGAACCAAAACAAACTGATATTGAAGAGACAGAACTTATGGAAGTTGATGAAGCCATACCATCAACAAGCAGTGCGCCATGTTCCACTACTGGAATGACCCCTGAACAAATTCGCCCATTTCCGAAGGTTCCACCGCGTAAGACTGGTGGAAGGGGAAGGAGACCGGGAAGATGTATGATTGTCACAGACTCACCGGAGTTGCAGAAAATCAAGGAGCAGAAAATTAAAATATGTAAGCCAGTCCCGAGGAAAAAAGAGGCAGTCAAAAGAGCACTAGTTGTATCTTCTTCTTCGTCTGAAGATGAAGACGAGCTCGAGCTTAAAGACATCTCTGATGGAAGCAGATTTGACTCAAGTTCCGAAGATGAAGATGTTCCTGATTTCTTTCCATCAGACAAAGTTGCACTCAATTTTACCATTGGCAGCTGGGTTGTGGTAAAATTTGAAGTCACTGGAAAAGCTACATCCACTGATGTTTACTATGCTGGTTTGGTTCAAGAAAGCATAAACCAAGAAGTTACTGTGAAGTTTCTCCGAAAACGGAAAGTTTATTTTGTCTTCCCAAATGTTGAAGATATTGCCGTCGTGAAGCATTCAAGCATAGTGAAAGTGTTGCCTGTGCCCAAAATACGGCGAGGATTTCATTCATTCAACATTGCCTTTCCACAAAATATTTCTTTTAAATAATATATAAATACAATAAAATACTTTTATTGGTTTTTTCATCATTAAAAAAGTTATTTCAATATTTGTTTTATTTATATAAATACAGTCAGTTCATGTCCCAATGTACAAACAACACTGTCCCAAGGGTAAACCACAGGTTGAACCTTGGGACTAATATCACTGTACACTTATATGGTAATTACTGATTTACTCGTTGGTTATTATCGATATTTTTAATATCAGTCCAGTGCCTAAATCTTCATTCTTTTACATGGATCAAATACATTTCAGTTTCAGATGAAAGAAAAAAACATAAAAATTTAAAAGTAAATTTTGTCCCAAGGTACACGCTTTTCCCCTATAGATAGATTGATACTGGACAATTGCAGTCAAAAATGACAGACGTCTTCCAATTGCAGAAGCAATAGTTTACATTATCGTTGAAAATACGCTTTATACATTATGTAGTTGGAAAAAAATGTACGTACAAATTTTTTGTTTTAACATATATCATTGACAATAAAAGTTAACAACTATTTATTGTTTTAGCGTATTTCATTGACAATAGTAAACAACTTTTTTTCAAAAATGCCATTTAAACAATGTTTAGCATCGTATATTGCTCCGAATAGCTTCACTATAGGAAGTTAATGTTTTAGAAAACTACATATTCATATGTATGCACAGTATTATTGTTGTCTGATATAACGAGACTGGCTTATAACGAGGTAATTAGTCTGCCATTTCAGTTCTCGTTATAGAGGGAGTCTACTGTAATTAAAACTTCTTGAAACTGTTCAACTAATTCACGTTTCTTCTATTTTAAAATTTGTGGTTTTCTGTTTGAATAATTGTGTTCGATTAAGCAGGAGAGATTGCATTTGGGTTCTTTCCAAGTATTTAATTCGGTTGTTTAGAAAAGAAGAATTCCAGTTTATCTGTGAATGATGATTACCGAGGTTTTTAGTAAAAAGTCGTCTTGTTTTGAAGTTACCCTTCGGAAGCTCATTAGATGGGCGTATGCTTCGTCTGTGCCGTATTTGGTATGAGAAATGGACGTGACGGTATTTAAGGAGGGGTTAGGGTATTTTGTTTCGTTTTTATTGTTTTATTCGATAGTAGAATTCTTGCAAGAATATCCAGTTAAAATTTCAGTGTGGTGAGTGAGTTAGGTGAGAGAAGGAGGTGAGTGAGTGATTGAGATTATTGTCAGGTGAGTGAGTGAGAGAGTGAGGTGAGTGAGTTAGGTAAGTGAGCTTGATGAGTGAGCACTTAAATAGAAATTGTAATAGGTACAGTGTCATGTTCTCATAGTTATTCACTTGCGACAGATAACAATAGGATTAATAGAGCGGATAAAACGGTTGCAGATGCAACAACAAAAAAAGGCAGAGTAGTATATGAGTCTATAATAGGAGATATTGTGTGAGTATGGAAAAAATAAGCTTTTTTATTCTTTTTTTCAAGTCGGTGTTCACTGTATCTCAGAACTACTTCATCGATCCTTCTCAAATTTTGCACACTTCTTTTATAGGTAAATTCTTCTGGATGTGCCTATCCGTTACGAATGTTTACATTTTTTTAAATCATGAACTTGGAAACGTACGTAAATTCAATATACGACATCTGAATCTCAATAAACATGAATATGGTATCGGAATGACATTTATTAATGTTTCCCTGTCAAAAACAAAGTGGTATGTCCTGCGTAGAATAACCCAATGGAATATCCCGATATCTACGTTCCCAAATTTATTATTTTGAAAAATAGACTAAAAACTGACATTTAAAGCTCTATTTCTAAAAAACAATTGATGTCTGAGTCTTGTGGCTCTGAGAACTTTTAATTAACATGACAGAAGCTAATTCTTCGCATTTCTTCACTTAAATTTCATTTGCATATCTGAACCAGTTTCAGGGCAATAAATAGTTTCAGGGCAATTTGTAAGAAAAATTTCAACACCCAGTATCTCGAAAAAGGACGCATTTGCGGGCATACGTTTATATAACAGAACGTGATTATTTTTCATATAGAATCACTCCCTGAAGTTAGTTGCACATATTTACAAAATCTCCGTATATTGTACAAAAATATGTACTATTCAAGAGGACTAAAAACCGACTCTTTGAACCTCTGTAAGTCAGAAACAATCGATTTCTGGGTCTTACGCAATGATGACCAAAGCTACACACTGCAAAGTTTCAGCCAATTTAACTTAAATCACTTTTACATAAGAAAAGTGCCGGGGTTCTTAACCAATAACAAAAGTCACGTAACAACCAGAATTAATTTTACAAAAATGTTTCTTCTTCTTCTGGTTCCTATCCGTTTCGGATGTTGGAAATCATGTTCCAAGCCCCTTTTTGTTGTAAAATTAATTGACACATTTTCCCTACAGATCTTACATAATTGAGTATATGCACTGGCTTTATTTTTCTTAATATTTGATGACTGCTTGTAATAATTCTTCCTTGGCATTAAAGTCAGTTTTATACATATTGTTTTTTAAAAATCCTCAAGTAAAAAAAATCGGAGGATTTAGTTCTGATGAACGAGGGGGCCGCATAACAGGACACATTATGGGCAGGTGCTCCATCTTGTTGGAGCCAAAATTTATTATTCCTTGAATTCGTTTCTAAGATATTATATTATATATATTATATATATATATATATATATATATATATATATATATATTATATATATTATATTTATATTATATATTATATTATAGATATTATGCTTGACAAAACAACTACGCCAAAACCGAAGTTGTACGCCACTGAATCCTTCCATAATATAACTATCAAAAGTTCTAATAAGGGTTTTTAAATTTTTCTTAATAAGGGAGATGTATAACGCTGTCATTTTCGACATTTTTCAATATTTACCCTGTATCTCGCTAATGTGGAAAGCTATTGATGATTTAATTAGGTAGATTACTTTAACGAATAAGAAAATGATATCTTAACTATGTTTTTTTAATTTTCTGTAATTTTTAGTATACCCTTTAAAACATGCCAACTTGATATAACATGTACATATAAAAATGAAAAGTACAGCTAAGTATATCTTAAAATCCACCGTAAGATAAACATAACGTTTTTATCAGCTCAATAGATAATATACATATTTTTGACATCGTTTTAATAAAGACCATCTCTATCTTTAGATGTTTCCTTCTCACGAACTGCCATGGACATCTGAAGAGATTTTGAAATGGTTATTTAAAAACGTCCACCAAATCACGTCATGGGTCTTGCCTAGTGGATCTAAAAGTGTCGCCTTATCGAGTAGTATGCAAAACGGATCTATTCTTATTCTGTTTACTCCGAGAAATCCGTTGCATAACAACATTGATTATTATAACCTGGTAAGTTTTAAATAAAATACTTTATTTTCTTAATTCCATTAATATCAAATATTCATTTATTGACTAATATATTGATTAATTTCCAACTTTTGCTTTCTTAAAGATACATCTTTTAATAACTAATGTTGCTAATGACCCAGGTGGTTAAAGAGACTATTGTTTGTTAATAAAAAAAGATTACTTTGGTTTCTATAACAACTTATATCAATAACCTGACGGCTTAGCAATGGGTAGTAGCTTATCCCTGTTCTTAGCTGATGTCTTTATGGATCATTTAGAATCCAATCATATCACAAAAAATCTTGAGATTCTACATTGGTTCCGATAAGTTAATGACTGCTTAATCTTCATTTCAGGTAACTCTTAATCAGCTCATAACTTACTTCATAAAATCAATCAAATTCATCCCAACATTACTTGTACCATAGAACTGGAAACTTCAAACTCTATCAACTTCCTTGACTTATCCATCACCAAACTACATGACCACTTCAGCTTTGGTATCTACCCTAAACCTACACAAACAGATCACGTCATGCACTTATCCTCAAATCATCCACTGTCACAGAAGCTTTCTGCTTTTCGCAGTTTTATTCATAGATTACATTCCATATCTCTTTCACCAACTGATTTCAATAAAGAATTAAACATTATTAAACAAATTACAGATAACAATGGTTATTATCCATCTATTATAGATAAACTTCAACACAAAAGAGAGTTCAGACTCCTCCGACAATTAGAATTTCCCTCAATTTCCAATATTACTTCCATTTATGCTTCTTTACCGTTCTATTATCCCAAATTATCCGAAAGAATCAAACAAATCATCACTACTTCTGACATCAAAATTGCATTTAAAGTTAACAACACCCTTAATAAAAGTTTAATCAATACCAAGGACCCCATACATTACGTGAACCGCAGTGGTGTATACAAACTCTCTTGTTCAGATTACGATGCTACTTATATTGGTAGAACTTACAGATCTTTATCCACCAGATCCTTCGAACACTCCAAGGGAGAGTCCGCATCTGCCTTTTCACGCATTTAAAAGTCAACAAACATCAACTAACGATGGCTACAACAAAGAAACCTATTACAGTTTGATCTATACGAAGATTTAGAGATCATTACAGATATTAAGAACAGTCCTAACTGTGTCAACAGACAGATTTCGCTCAACCGTAACTTTGTTCCCATCCATCGACAGTTGTTTTCTTAATCTGTATACCTTTCTTAATTTTACTCTATAACCTCTCATGCTTATCATTTGCTTATCTACTTATCAATGGCTTTATCATACTCCTTATATTTCCATCAGTATTCCTTTACCGCAATAACTACTATTAATTTACCCAGCTCATATTAATCTCAACCGTACTTACTCACCCAATCTCTTCCTCCTGCTACTGCACTGGCCCTCTTCTTCATCTTAATTTCTTAAATATCAAATAGAGTATATTTCCATCATTTTTTATTAACAATTTTTTCTTTCATTCCCATATTACCATTATTATTAATTCCTACATTAACGAAATATTAACTCATCCAGTCTTTCCCGTCTTTCATTAATGATCCTCTTCTCTATTTCTTGATCAGCTCATCTCATATTTTCAACATTTAATTGCCATTACACTTCTCATAAAATCTTCTCAATATATTATGATATTATATATATATATATATTATATATATATATATATTATATATATATATATATATATTATATTATATATATATATATATATATATATATATATATATAGCCCACTAGCACAGCCTTTAGCCAACATATTAAGAATACTGGACACACTGCTAACTATGAAAATGTGCAAGTACTAAAGAGGGTTGACAACCAATTTAAGAGAAACTTCATAGAAATGTGCTACATCCATAACTGCAGCTCTCCTATGAACTGTAAGAAAGATGTTGAAAACTTAAGTTGTATTTATTCCTTTCTACTTCAACAGGACTTGACAAGAAGTAACAAACTGGAAAATGTGGGGAACTTATCATGACATGCATAGATTACCTACCTGTGCTTTAGAGGGGACTTCATTTCCTTGCTTATTATGTTGCCTAGGGCTCTTTCTTTTCGTATCCATGTGGTTGTGTGTGAGGTGCAAAAGTGAAAATTATAACCTCGTTACATATGACACCCGGATGTTGACAGAAATATGTCATCAAAAAAGAAGATTAATTCTTCTTTTCTATTTGCAGTTTTTGTAGGTTGTAAATTTTAGACTTTTTGTTGTGTTTGTATTTGAAAAACTACCCTGTTTGTGTTGTAATGTTTTTATTCAAAATTTTAAATGTATTTTTTAATATTTTTAACATGTTTGTGACAGTGTTCTTTACAACTAGGACCAACTGAACATTTTCAATGTAGGTTTTTAAATGTTGATTTCCACCACTGTACTATAATAGGTTTTCCATTTAGGTGCTGATGAAGGTGACAACATATCACCGAAAATTTCACATTTAGAATAAAGTTCTACACCAAGCTGGCTTATACCATCTCTAGCTGATCCTTGTTTTGACGCTTTCCCGAAAGTTACCCTCCAAAGAATTGTATTCTTAGCGTCGTTATACACACTCTATATTATATATATATATATATATATATATATATATATATATATATATATATTATATAATATATATATATATATATATATATTCATATCATTTCACCAAACAATAGATAATTTCTTTTCGATTCATAATCTCTTAGACCATGAAGGATCTTATATCCAATCATATAATTTTATTTCATATTCATATATTATACTGACACACCTTCACTTCAAGAATCATTAAACTCCCCCCATTTTTTCTTTATTAATTTTTCATTTAATTTCACAATTTACATCATCAACTTATGACATTGACTATATTTCATTATATTACTATCACTAGTACACTTTATCTTATGACCCTTGCAATTATTTACTGTCTCTACTGACTAGCATCAATAATCTTATAACACCCTCACTTTTTCAATAAAATTCAAATAATCTTTATTTTACAACAATTACAATTCAAATTCCGCTTAGCTACCCTACAGATGACCATCAAATTTCCAATACATTTTTTTACTGATTCATCATTAAAATTACTTCCCACAATGAATTTAAGTTCATGTAGTTGGCTGTATACCATTATCACAAAAAATTTTATTAAAATTCCTTTATAAAAGGTATATAATTTAAAAAACCCAATCGGGCTATATCACAAAACGTTTTCGGAATCCATATTCCATCATCAGTGTCCTAAAAAGTATATAACCACTTAATTAAAAAGAACGTGAAATTTAAATTTTGACCAAGGTTAATACAAATGTGGTTAATACTTACTAGGTGTACATGTATTGAGCCACTAAATATCTGGTAAAAACCCGTTAAAAATTATGTGTTTAAATTTAGTTTACATTATATGGTATTAAATATTAGGATGTTAAAGTTACCAGTGGATTTGGTAACATGCTTTTTATATACTTTTTAGGACACTGATGATGGAATATGGATTCCGAAAACGTTTTGTGATATAGCTGGATTGGTTTTTTTAAATTATATACCTTTTATAAAGAATTTTTAATAAAACTTTTTAACACTATCCGTAAAATAGTTTCGAAACACAATTCAGATTTCTGCTTATAATCTGAGCCTTCTAAGAATTGCAAGGCAAACAGACGTTGATAAAAGATGCAGATGATTTTAAGAAGCAACAATAAAAGGCAGAAAATATTGATTTTTCACGTTGAGAACTCCTATGAATAGCTGTTCTGATGAGACCTATTAGGTCGAAATACGTATCAACAGATACATAGGATTTGTTTGCGTGAAATCAAATATTTGCTGTCTTTTTCATTTTATTTCGGATTTACTCTGTGTGAGTACTAGAAGCACAATTCGCTAAGGATTTCTGCTTAGTTGTAAAAGACATGTCGTGGAATGCAAATTTTAGATTCCCCATGTCCCTTTTAACATCTTTTATCAACGTCTGTTTGCCTTGCAATTTTTAGAAGGCTCAGATTATAAGCAGAAATCTGAATTGTGTTTCGAAACTATTTTACGGATTTTGTAATTAGATGTCGCTATCGCGTCCGTATTGAAGCCATTTTATTGTTGCTTCTTAAAAGGCAGAAAATATTGATTTTTCACGTTGAGAACTCCTATGAATAGCTGTTCTGATGAGACCTATTAGGTCGAAATACGTATCAACAGATACATAGGATTTGTTTGCGTGAAATCAAATATTTGCTGTCTTTTTCATTTTTTTAACATTACTTTATTCACACACAATTTGTTATAATTACACTTCAGAACATTATAATTCCTCCCAGTGGTCTATAAGACAAATTTCTTTTCTTTCACATTTAATTATTGAACCGTTTAACTCATTCTTAATGCACTTACTTTCTCTTATGATCACATTTTAATTTCTGTCTTTCTAAAAGCAGCTTTTAATTTTACTGATCAATTTAATTTTATAGTCAATTCATAAAATATAAACAAATAGGTGTAAATAATCTATATATCTATCGAATCAGCCTTAAACGCCCACTCTTGGGCATAGGCCTCCCCTGTTAATCTCCATTGGTCTCTATTTTGGGCGATCTGCATCCAGTCCTTTCCTGCCGTTCTCTTAAGGTCGTCAGTCCATCTCATCTGTGGTCTTCCTCTTTTTCTTTTCTTTTCCCATGGTCTCCAGTGTAGAATTCGCTTATTCCATCTTTCATCTTTTTGCCGGAGAGTGTGACCGGCGAAGTTCCATTTAAGTTTTGCAACCTGTCTTGATACATCGTTCACCTTTGTTTTTTCTCTGATCCATGAGTTTCTTTTCCTGTCTTTAAGACCGATACCCAGCATCTGTCTTTCCATTGCTCTTTGTGTTTTGGATATCCTGTCGATGTTCTCCTTTGTGAAAGTCCATGTTTGTGAGCCATATGTGATAACTGGTAAAATGCACTGGTTGAATACTTTCGTTCGCATATA